CTGTGCACTACCACATTCGGGGAGCGAGAACCGGCTGCAGTGATTTGGAAATCAGCCAACACTCGAATTTTGGAATTATCAACATTAAAAACTGCCGGCAGTTTACAAGGATAATAAAAAGGCATGGATGACTGCAGCTATTTCCGAAGATTTAACAGCAAAATACAGAAAAACGCAACATCATACCTCTCAACAAAGCCGTTGCCCTCCCTAATTCCAACTACTTAATAACAAATTGCTGTTCCTCTCACCCAACACCAGTGTGTTACTTCAACCCTACGACCAGGGTGTCATTCAGGGGCTTAAGTCGAAGCTTAGGAAAAAAAACACCTTCTCCATCTTATAACGATCATGGAATCCCACTAAGATATGTCCGGAACTGATTTCATGAAACGAGTAAATTTATTAGACGTCGTATTCTACATAAAGTCTACCTGGAAGGAGGTGCAGAACTCAACCATCTCTGACATGAAACATATGAGTATATTGTGCCTCCTTCAAGCACAAGTGCTATGGATACTCTCTCAGAGGAATTGCTTTGATGCAAACTGGCTGACAGCCATTTGGTTGATTTTTATTTCCAAACATGTCACACAACAGAAATAAACTGGGACCTGCCAAACACATCAATTTTAGCAGCTGAGGATGTGAATAATGAATCAGACTAACAGCAGGAACAGGATTCTACATACGTTCTAAAAACGTATACATTCACAGACTCACAGGGTGAAGTTGATATTTCGCACTCCTACGCAATACATAGCGGACACACTGGCATGCTTGCACTTCATCCGGACGTGAGGGAAAAACTAAATCCCTTTCATTTCAATTGGCAAGCAACAGAACACTATATTTGATATTTTTCACCTGGTGGATAATGATTATGACAATAGAAATGTGTGTATGATTTTCTAAACGCTGTGGATGTCGACGATTTGCAGGTCAGTTTCTAAAATGTTGATTCACAATTTGTGTGATTATCGCTTTATTATTATTCCTCTATCCCACATTATGCACCACTACTGAGGTTGCAAATGACGGCGGCCTTGATAATACGTTCGTGATAAATAACTTCACCGGTGCTCTGCAATTAAAGTCATAGTGAATTACGCGCAGATTGCCATTTCTTACAACCTAACTGTGTGAAGCGGGGTTTCCTGCAGGGTCAGCAGCCGAAACAAAGCAACCAAACTAACTGGACCTAGGCAGCACACATCAAGTGTCATTGTCACCCATTTCCCCCAGATAGAGCAGTCTGATTGTAGAGGAACACACTCATGGTTGTCTGTAATTTAGCGTTCTAGTGCATTAACGTATTATATCACCTTACATCCATTTGTGGTTTAACTGCATTTTATGTTCAAGGCGTGTTCAATCACAACTACAGTAAAATTATTCACTCAAAACAATCTAAAATGCAAACGTTCAACACACCCTCAGCGGGCCGGGGTACGATTATCAAATGCCGACCGGTCTACGGCGATAAAAAGGTTGGAGACCACTGCCGTGGAGTGCACCGGCTCACAATACCACGGTATTTCACGAGACCAGGTGCTTGTAGTTTAACCCCTTCGCAACAAAATATTACATGTCTGCGTACTTGGGGAACAAGGAGGAGTATAATATGATTCCCCGTTTAACGTATCCTTTAAAAGCAAATTGCAAGGCTGCAATCAAATATTTAGCACATGCCTCCTTCATTTCTCCATTGGTGAATATATCATTCCACCCGGGAGCTATCCTGTCTACCTCGATCATATTTGATCTGTGTGGTTCTAATGGGGGAGAATTGTTCGGAATATGATTACCTTATACCCCACATTCAACTTAGATCTTTGGATCCGTCACAAATGTGATATTTCTTCGTATAAAGAAAGAAGTTACGTGTAGCGATTGGTATCCATTCTGCTGCGACGGAAATCGTTCCGCTCCTTAAGTTACGAACAACTTGACTTCGAAGTCAAACGGTAGCTTCTGCTGCGCCTTCAACTATCCGACCGAACGGGCCTAAATACCCACCAAAACGAGGTAACCTGTATGCGCCTCTTGTTTAGAGTATCGTTTTAGTACCAAGCCAACGTTGTGCACTGTTGTCCTGCATGCATCACCTGCACCCTATCCTCAGACATCTCCTTTGCTCACTCACAAAAGGGGCCTGACTACACTTCAGGCTCATACCCGGTGCTCTGAGCGCACGTGTTTCCCTTCCCTCAGGGAATGTGCACGCTCCAATGGATGTCTCAGACACCTCCATTTTCCAGTGAGTACGCGCGGCACACTGCACCAGCTGAGCTCCGTTTAGTAAACTCTCAATTGCCGTCCATTGGAGTTGGACCACGCTAGTCCCACCCAACTCTCACAGTTTTCCTACCCGCCTCCGAAAGCGTGAATATTCTGCGCGTAACTGTGTTCAGTCTCTAGGTTATACCGAATTCTATTAGCTGGTAGCCTCCGCCCACGCAGTGCTACATGGATGCAAGTGCGAATATTATCGGATAATAGCAATTGATAAAGAAGGAAAGCTTCTGCACAAAGAATGATGGCTTCTGTACCTAGAATGATAGCTTCTGCACTAAGGATATAAGCGATTGCATTAAGGATGTTAGCAATTGAGAACTTTAGTAGTGTAATAACGTTTAGTTGTAATATTCGTAGAAGTGGCAAAGCTGAATTTCGCTTGTCCACATTTGCTTGGTTAGTGAATTACCGAGTCAAACAGCAAGCGACCTTACAAATTGAAGACCAGCTTGACGAACGCATTTGTTTTTTTAAACAAATAGAGTACAGCGGATGTATTACTGTGATGCACTACTAGCGATTGATATGTGTGGAAACGAGGAGACGGAACGGAATCTGCGAATTTGTCGATCCCCCCAGAAGAAAGATGCGTAATGCACCAATCAAACAGAAGAATGATGCGCGGTTCAACAATCTGCGTCTACCTGTACCTAGTGAATGAAAGGGCGCAGCGGAATGGCGAGTCAGAAAGGTACCATATTGGAAGTATGCAAGTGGACTCGAGTTTCCACATCCGTACTGCTATAATACATAGACATGAGTTCTCTAATGAATAACTCTTCTGCGCAGCGTTGCGTTCTCAACATTACTGCTTGTCCGCGCAACCAAATAATTTGTGGAACGTGACAGAACTGGCACAACTGCTGTCACGGACACAATCCACACGCGCCTGAAAGTAAATTGCAACTTTTCGCTTGGTCTAGGACAAGGTGGGAATGTTTATTCACAGACTAAGTGCAGTCGCTTAGTGGACGCCGCGGACTCAGCATGGCCAGTCCACGTACCTTTGAGTCGTTTTCGTGACTTTGATCCTTGTATGTATATATAGAAGCATTCGAGCAGATCAATATAAAGCCGTTTATATTGGTAGCACTCTCTACGGTCAAGGCAAGCAGCACGCAGCTCGACTGTGGTAGAAAAACTTTGACCGCTAACTTGTTATTTACTGATTGATATCACAGCCTAATATAAGCATAACAGGTTTTATGTTTATCGTACTCAAAAGTAGATGGCTTACATATAGTTAGCTGAGAGTTTCTTGCACCATCTTCCAAATCAGATAGTCGTTCACATACCCGGAAAAGCACTAGACTGCAGTTTCAGACTGTTGGGCATCGTCAGTAGTGCGCATCCATCGGATCCATCAGGATTCGAACCAATGACCACCAGCGGCTTGAACCGCCAGTCAGCAGCTTATGCCACTGGGCCACGGGGGACAGCTTCGGACCGTCATGATTTACAAGCTAACTGCGATATAGCGCGTCTTATCCTCCACTGCCATGCAAGTTACGAACGTTACAGAGGACAGGGTTGGCCCCGAAAGACACGACGTCCACTAACAGTAGCTATGTACGACATAGCATTTAGAAACTATCAGGGCGGATATAATTTGATGTACTCATGAGTAGAGGATTTTGATGTAATTAAGTGAGGTTCATCGCAGCCAGTTTCCAAATCAGATAGTCGTCCACATACCCGGAAAAGCACTAGACTGCAGTTTCAGCCTGTTGGGCTTCATCAGTAGTGCGCATCATTCGGATCCATCAGGATCCGATCCCATGAACACCAAAGGCTTGCACCGTCAGTCAGCAGCTTATGCCACTGGGCCACGGGGGACAGCTTCGGACCGTCATGATTTACAAGTAGTGATATAGCGCGTTTTATCTGCCACTGTCATGCAAGTTACGAACGTTGCAGAGGACAGGGTTGGTCCCGAAAGACACGACGTCCACTAACAGTAGCTATGTACGACATGGCGTTTAGAAACTGTGAGGGCGGATATATTTTATGTATTCATGAGTAGGGGATTTTGATATAGATAATTGAGGTTCGTCACAGCCAGCTTCCAAATCAAATAGTCGTCCACACGTCCGGTATAACACTTGACTGGAGTTTCAGCCTGTTGGGCTTCATCAGTAGTGCACATCCATCGAACCCGTCAGCATTCGAGCCCATGAACAAGAGTGGTTAGCACAGTTAGTCAGCAGCTTATAACAGTGGGTCGCTACGGACAGATTCGGACCGTCATGATTTGCAAGTTAAGCGCCGTGTAGCGCGTCTTATCCTCTACCGCTATGCATTTTATGAATGTTACAGTGGACAGGACTGGCCCCAAACTACACGACGTCCACTGACGGTAGCTATGTACGACATAGCATTTAGAAACTGTCAGGGCGGATATATTTTGATGCATACAACTGAGGATGCCCAACAGGCTGAAACCACAAGCCGCAACTTTTCCAGGCATGTGGAGGACTATCTGATTTGGAAGCTGTTGCGATGAACACGCCGTTACTCATTTATTTTTCTGAAAGTTAGAATGATAACAGAATTAACTGTGGAGTCTCGTGTTAGGTATAAGTAAAAATATAGAAAGGTACAGTATCTTGTGGTGTTAAATGAATAGTGAACCTGTTACATTGAGAACAAATACTTTTCAAGTTCCGTGCAAAGAAATGCTCATCCAAGATCAGTTTCCTTACCCATAATAAGCCTGCGCTGACTCCATATTCCGTTGTGAAGTATTCGTGATAAAACTCACGATGAGAAAGATTACGAATTCTTGCATCGCTTAGTTCATGTGAGGACAGTGCAAAACGGTCTAATTTAAGGCCCTCTATCAAGCCCTATGTATCAGAAATCTGATTCACTCAGTTGCTACATGCGCAACCTCAGTTGGCCGAACATGTGCTTTTCGGTGCCTACGAATACCAGTTTGGTAATTCATGTATACTGTGCTGGTTGTTTGCACGGAACATTTGTATCCATGTATGGTGCAACAGGGACATATAAAGAGAAAGCTACTTTTCCACTCTTTCATCTAGTAATTTGACAGATCGTGGCTTGGATAAGGTAACATTATTTTATTATCTGTGACTCTTTCGATGTTCAGACTCGCGTTATGTATTGGCTCAGAACTCTGCTACCTGTTAACATGTGCCCGAAAACGTGGAAGTATGTTGGTTAGGTTTCAATAAGGTAACCCATCTTTACTTCCTTGCAGTAAGCATCGAAACTACTAAATTTACACTAACGCTTGCCAGCGACAAAACGCTAGGTACTTGAGTTGTAGTACGTGTTTCAATACTTGTAGTAGATGCAGGTGAAACTGCCTCGTTCTTTTTCTGAGTAAAGCTTTTAGACCAAATTCGCAATAATGGATAAAGCTTACCTGGTGTCAGGTCACTCTAGCAAAATCATTGGACGACGTGTTTATGCTTGCTTCTGCTCTGCCTCATCTATTACCCTAGGTGATAAAGCCGCGAAGGCTATAACATGGATTTCCACTGAAAACTAACTGCGGGCTGATAATATCAGTTGTCCTGTAGAAAGGGTCTAACTCGACATCCATTATCCTTCTGGACGTTTACTGTCAGTCTGGCTGTGCTCGTTTTAGGTGACTTCCATTTGGCACGCCACCCTGGGTGTTTCGGAGACCTTCTGTGTGCTATGCCACGAACTGACATGAATGGTGTGAGGATCTTGAATAAATCGCAAGTGCTGATACCTTATTTTGTTTTGAACTGGCTCACAAAGCAGAATCGAGAATTGTCTTGTTTAACCAAGGCACTCAGTGTTGTTCAAAAAAGTGATTGCTTGAAGAGGCAACTTTAAGCAGTCAAGGGATTCCGGTTCATTGCAAGTTCTGAAAATCGTTCTAGCCTTCGTGAAGATTGACATGTGGGGAAATGTACAGAGCTTATTGCGCGCACAAAATCGTAAACATGCTTCACGTTCACTCCATTCTGGAGCTGCCGGCGTGCAAGGTGGACCAACACGCTGCGAGCACCTAGAAGAATACTGTTCACACGTAATCGACACGATATTTTGATTGTCCGCGCAACCGCAAATTGGAATGTTCTCCACCTGAAAGAGGTCACATCTAACAAAGCTCTTGGCGGTGTTCAGAGAAAGAGCCCAATTTGCGATGGCTGGGTGGGCGATTCAAGTAATTCAGATGAGTGCAGCAGGGAACCTACCGCGCAGCTGGAGAGATAAAGGCTGGCTTCTTCATCCTCCCTCGACCGGGGAGAATCAAAACAGCGGGCCAACTTTTACAAACAGAGGGCTAGACACATAAATCACCGCATCTGCCAGAGGCTGACATAACCTAGTAAGTAGCTAGCGTGGTTCACTCTCTACCGTCTTACACAGTACTGCTACCCACAGAACAGAGCTATTGGGTCATCTATCAATGTTTATGAGAATAGCAATGGAATACAATCACCATTTGGCACCTTTCATGTAGTCAGGGGCTGCTTGAATTCATATAAGAGATTTTAACATTTCAACTGATTAATGACGCTTAGTGCACGTGGTAGTAAACGCATTCGTTCCATCTAATCGCACTGCACCCCTGACAGAAGCAGAAATGTCTTCACACGTCTGTCAGCTAGTGTAACCAAGCGAATCGAAGTTGGAGAGGTAATCGATGACAAGTTGTCTTGACTATGCCAGTAGGACGTAGTTAAATTATTTCCTTTAAGTGAATCAGAGTCTTTTACTTGTCTCAGTAAATTAAAAGAACAGAAGGCGGTGGAAGCAACGAGACAACGGAGATTGAGCTGGTACCATTCTAACGGGTGCACATAACAGTGGGTTTACCTTTGACGGATACTTATGGTAGGGCTTAGAGTGAAGCACTGGCTGGGGGCTCATTGGTTTCATATTAAATATTGTCTGAGGAATGTTCCTATTCTGAGACTCAACACCCATCTGTTTTACCGATGTAGCTGATCATTAATTTACACAAAAGATATTAAGCGCAATATAGTTTGATTTTGAAAAACTTATCCACACTGAGTATCACCGTGAATATAAACGAGCGCCCCTAGTAATGGGACCGGCAACGGTGCTCAGTATACTGTGTGCAGTGTAAACTACATGGTTTGCAATCTGTACAAAAACTAAGGTAGCCCAGGATGTGAGTCCCCATCTCCTGTGCTTTGTCGCCTCCGTTATTGATGCGCCCCTGGATGGAAATTAGGCAAAAGCCACCAAGCTATGAGAATTACCTGTGAATCGTTTATATTTTATTATGTAGTCTGATAAGAACATTGTCTAGCTTAATTTCATTATAATTGTCCTATAGAATATACTTCTCCAAAGAGCGTCGCAAAGACCTTGACATGCCTCTTGTTCACCTGAATTCATGACGCAAAACGTAAACCAAATCATTGCACACCGAAGAGATCGACACGTCGTGGTTCTAGCGGTAAGCCCACTTCAGTGTCAAGGCTTAGGGTAGGGACCCGTCTACATATTTCTAGTGTGCTTTGCGATTTATCGGGGCGGCGTCGTCGGTTGAACTGGGATCTGCTTGATTAATGCGTGCAGTAAGATTATCCTGGCGAAGTGTCACTTTTCACACTAATCCCTGACGGGTAGAATGAATGATGTTGGCTCTACATGGATCAGGGAGTCGGAGCTCATCACTGAATCTCTGTTGGCGTTGGGTAAGAGACACTGGAAGTATGGTTAGACGGCATGTTTACTCTGACGAGTGGATGGCCACACGGCTGGACTGCATCACAAGGCATGCATACATTGTGCGAAAATTCAAGTTAGTGATAGATCCGATTCCATGTCGCTGCAGTTTTCACGTTCATCAGAACCCACCCTATGCATCTCGGTTTTATTAAATGCTGAACGCGATTTCACGGCTTGTTAGAAGAATAGGTTTACTGTTCGTTCGATCTGAAGAGGCAAGAAATGTATATGGAATCTTGCTGAACCCACTACCTTGGGCCATAACTAAATAAACTGTACGCGCCCCGCAGATGCACGAATTCCATACTGCAACTTAACAATGCTTCGGCCCAGAGGTAAATTTTCCTCTTGTTGCGGAATGTTATCTCTCTGTCTGTTGTATGAGCCATTAGTGCCAGTTTAAGAGTATTAATATGAAGCTGCTTCATCAGGATCGTTACTACTTCAATTTAAACATGAAATAGTTTCAACGACGCAAAATTTTTAGCTTGGATAACAAACGTCGAGCCATAACAAAGATACAAACCTGATAGGGAGCTCTCCAAACATAATTGACAAGACGTAGTGTAGGAGTTGCTACAACGTAGGGTTGATACATTTGTGGTGCAACAGCAAATATTGAAAGTGGATTTTTTGAAAGGAAAAACCAGAGATATTTTCCTACTGCACCTTCGATGTGTCAATCCAATGCAATTATACTTGTCCACTATGAGTGACAGGGTGCTACATGGGAAGCATTGAGACGACACAACAATTGCAGAGACGGAACCCGTTAAGTCTGATAGTGGGCGGTCAGCTGCTCTGTTGAATTCCCTCGGATCACCATACAACCAAATGATAAAGCTGGGATACCAAGGCAACAGCACTCGTGCAACCAACGCAGTTCGGCAGTTCGTGCCTGTCTTTTTTCAATAGAAATTACCCTGAGATACGGTATTTAATTGTGTTACAAATTAAACGAATCCATTGGATGCCTTACTGTTCGAGACCTTTGAATAATGTGCTAACCTGGGAGCGGCTACTAGAACTGGGGACACGTATCATGAAGCGCCACCTTCCACCAGTGGAGATAAGCGCAAGTAATTTTAGCACAAGGTTAATCTGGAGTCAAATGAATTCACCAACTTTTTTGTATTTCAAAGGACCGGGTTCGTTGCTCCTCGGGCGATTTTGAAGGTGCTATACTCGGGGCTAAAGTAACACCAATAGTGGATTATGGCGTAAACCAGTAATCAAATGCTGGGACACCTACAATCAGAATGTATAACTGTCACACAAACAGCTGTTAACGATGCAACTCTTGGCAAATGCACCACTGATGCCTTGTAATAAATTGGTCATATTTCACGATGAACGAAAACCACCTAGTTTCGAGGTTAAATACCATAAAATGCGTGATGAGGCTTGGTCAATTATAAAGAGTTTGGATACGCCAGTTTGCTGGATAAGGCTTTTCTCCTGTGCTGTTGCGTAACCATTTGGTCCCTCCCTACATTTTAAGAGGTCATATTCCACAGACGGCATTTCCAGCATGTAAATGCCAGATGGCACAAGCAGACAGTGTCTATGAAATAAAAGTGGATTGAATTACTGTACATAAAATCTGTGGTGATCAAGACTTGGTTATGGGAAACCATTTCATAGTTCTTGGCAAACACTATCTGAGTTAGATATATGAGAATGAACAGAAGGGGAAGGTTATCATGCAACATTGTGCTCCTTTATCAGTGGGTCAGTTTGCGATTACACTTTCTAGTAATGACAATATAGTTTTAAGAAATGCGTGACAGTATCCAGTGTACCTGGCCCGAAAAGAATGTACTGCTTGTATCCAGAACTGTTAACCTACACTGATCCTTCTTCAGTAGCGAAAGGTTTGCTTTTTAATTGCTCCTAGATATGGATCAGATTCTCCCTCCAAAAGCGCGTCGTGTGTTGGCGATAACCATGTCATCATAATGTCATAACAAATTACTGTCCCTCAAGCCGTAAAAATAAAAGGCAACAGCTGTAAGTGGATTAGTAATCAAGCGTTGCATAGGTATTTGCAAAGAACGACGTGTACGTATTTCTTGAAATGACTAGAGATGATGGCACAATGAGTTATATGGCTCATGTATACAACATTTACACCGGAATAGGTTTAGTTTAAGGTACAATTTTGTACAACCTTCCACAGGTTGACCAGGGAGAACAATTTCAGTGAATACAAAGTACATCTAAGTCAAAATTCAGCAACCTTTAACATGGCCGATCTTAATTCCTGCGGACCATTCCGCAACACCTGATTCCAGTGCGCCTGCAGTTTGACCAGAAGCTATGGCTCTAACCAATAGCTAGGACGGGAGTACAGCTTTAAGGTGATGTAGCAGGTCTTTGGATACCAACTGTATTCTGTCTCTTAGAAAGGAGACCGTTGTCCCGGAAGCTAATGGTAACAAATCTCTTTCCACTTTGTGTTTAATCCGAGTTATTAAAAAGTCCAGGTTCACTTCAAAGTAGATCAATTCCCGTAGGGAATTGCGCGTTACAGGTTTTTGGAGTCGGCCAGAGGCTAAGAGCACGCTTCTTACGGGCGTAACGCCATGGAAAAGAGCAACCTTGAAGATGTCAGCCGCAAATATTGCATTCCTTGGTAGTTTATTAGTTTTATTGTAAATGGAACTAATGATAGCATGTGCAATTTTGCCACGATCTATAAACTCGTGATTCAAGTCCAGAGTTGAGCAGAGTAAGACGCGCGCGGCAACAACACAGTCGGCTGCTCCCGATTCATGGGTTAATGAGGCCGCATCCCTGCCCACTTATTCACAGCGAATCGTCGATCCATACCTAAGCGTCTACGCCATTTTATTTCTCGGCATAACATACGCATTAATGAACAATGAACAATGATATATTAAAGGTAAAAGAGCGATTGCTTTACAAGTCCCGTAGGATGGTGGAAGTGAAAGTAAACATAAGTGTAAATCGCCAATTTCAGCGTCTAGCGATTTAGGTGCCCCTTATTCATATAAACCTTTTAGAATGTGTACTGAATTGTTACTGTAGAGAAATATGGGGAGGTAATATGGGGAAGGTACGTCTTAGGAACAAAAGAAACAATAACGCTTACTCGTGCGCCGCTTTCTTGGACTGAGATAATTGATGAATGCAGTTGTATCATATCCGAAACTATATTCCACGACAGCAGTGTGAAAGTAGTGAAGCACAAAAGCTGAGAATGAGCACCGTTTGTTCGCTTTTGGTTGTAGACATTTCTCATTATATAGTGTAATGCAAGTGGATAAACGAATCATCCGGACGTCTTTTGAATAGCGTTAGCGTGGGGAAGAAACAACGTATGTGGGAAGAACCTTCCAATGTTCGCATACACGAAGGGAAAAGAAATTCCGGCGGCATTCCAACCGGCTGTATTGTGTGGCCAGCTTTAGATGGTGTCCCCTGAGTGTTGTATTGCTATTCAGCTTTAGTAGGTGACGACAACAATGGTTTGGATTCCTCAGGATCATATAATTTCATTATCAAGTCGCCACGCAGGCGTCGATATTGTCCACTGTAGACCCCGAGGTTTTTCAGCCTCAATCGGTAAGGGAGATGAAACAGACACAATGACAGCTAAACTAACCTTATGAGTCATATGAATATGAGTTGCGGCGCTCCCGAATACCCTGCACTCCACTGCGCGTTTCAAGCTTGTTTGATCTCATCAGGTAGGGATAGCAAGCGTCTAAACCAGGGCCATTGGGAATTTAGTTAGGACTTCTACCCCCAGTAGCCACCGGGTCACGACAGGCAACGCTAGGCACAACGGTTAATGACTGATTGGAAGGTCATTCTGAAGCACCCGTTCTGTAGATGAATTGCGACTCTCCATCGCAACGTGTAAGGCGATTTACATTGGAGCGTTCCTTGGTCAGTGCAACCACTGGGACCGTACTTGACGAAGCAGATGCATATTGGGTGTTTCCCACCCGAAAACTGCACTCCGCGACCGGTTTCTCACTTAATTGACCTCGTCAGGTGTAGGTAGCAGTCATCCTGCGGTCCTCTGTTAGCCACTCCGTTCACACTTAGTGAATAGTGCCCAGTTTCTGTTAATCTAGTCAAGATGCAATGCATTCACGCAGAATGCAACATCTTGTGTCCTGCTGGATTTAGCCGAGGCTCCTATAAAATGGAATTTTGCAACCGAGAATGGAATACGCAACCAGGGTCATATCAGTGATATTTTTGAGAAAATTTGTCGCAGCTAGACTCAGACAGATACCCAGCACACATCCAGGAAAGTGCTAAATGACCATTTCGCCCTATTAGGGCTCGTCAGTAGCGCTCTCCCGGCGGATCCTGCCAGTAATCGCCTTAGCAGCCTATCGGCTACCTCGGTTGACGGCAGCATGCCAAGGAAGTTGTAGCTCTAGAGGCCAGCTCAGTCCTCTGCAGGTTCATGACGTGCATGGTAGTGGAGGATGAGCTTTGCCGTATCGCATTTGGACATCAGTTCTGGCCATCAGCCGCCATTGCCCATGGCTCAGTGGTTTAAGTCGCTTATTCTTAAGGGTAGATTACTGGCTCGAGTCCGACGGGTGCATGCTACTGACGGGTCCCAATAAGCGAAACGGCCTTCTGGCGCTTTTCGTGATGTTTGGTGGCATCAAAATGCCCAGTGGCGCTCAATGGCTTCTGGACCCTTAGCACAAAGATATATAGTAGATTGGCCAGGAACTGGGTTCTACTCTTTCAACTGATATTTCGCTCAGCCGAGACCGAGATGAAATTAAACTTGAGAAAATACGACTGATGTACGACGTGGACTTTAGAGATGTAATTCCAATAGGTTACAGCATAAGGTTGTAACAATGACGTATGATTGTCTGTACCATTCCGCACGTGCTTCCTGCTACCGTTGGTTGTAATTGCCGCATGAGTTCAAAAGTAAGATGAAATACATCGTATTTTCGCTTCTTCAGCGCAAACATCCCTAGTAACTAATACCGTGGCTTGATGCGTAAGCGCGAAACCAAAAGCTCTTGAGCAGCCATTCTGCTGCCAGTCCTTCCTATCATACTGTGACTCTGTATCCCAATGTCTGAAGCTAGCATACATCTATTATTTCAGTGGAAAAACGAGAGCCGCTTGCTATTCATATGCGTCTTCATGTAAGGTCATCAAGTATCTATCTGTCTGTCAGTTGATGCGAGCAGGTAACTGATAGGTAGAACCAGGACCAGGTAGCAATCCCTTCCGCTATCACCTATCTGCACTTCTCTGTCAAAATAAGTCCGTAAATGAGAGGGGTCGGAATGATAGCCAGTAGGAATTTCTGGCGAAAGGATTCATCAGAATGAGCTTTTTTGCTTGCTAATCTTTGACATGTACCACACAGGAAAGCCAGATAGCATCCACGTACACGCATGTGTAAGGTGCACCTGCTGTATTCAATGTTCATAGCTTTATAGGCTCCAGACTAAGTTGCGGAAAATTCAGTCTGCGTGATGCAGACGGTACCGCTTAAGTGCAGAAAATGATCGTAAAGACTCTCCACAATATGTGGCCTGCGGCTTCACTGCTATTTCGGATAAGAGATTCAAAAGATGTCAGCTCTCGGATAGCCTAGATTCTGGCATTGTCGACTTTCGATAGGAGTATTCGATAAAAATACTCCGACCTGTGTGCTTGCTTAAAAGGTTGACTGCAATTTAATCCCCCTTTACCGCATGTTTTTCGTAGTCTTTTCGTTTTGATGTGATTTCTTGACCTAGCGCACTCGGGTACGAGAATTAAAAGTGTCACGAACTGCACTGCAAATAATACACCTAGGAATGTGACAAATCAATACTGGATGAAAGATTTCACGGCCCGTACCGGCACAAGTGTCTTGTTTATTTTGGCCATATCTCAATTCTCATGCGAGGAATATGCTTTAGGAAAACTATGTACACAACTTTATTAACGTCACCTGGGAATTCTTCCAAAGTGGCCAAAAGTGTTTACCTCTCCAACCTTATTATCACGGGTGTAAGTCTTCTCGGTTCGCTGGTCTTCCGGTGAGTCAATACGACCACTTATCTCACCTAATCCAGTATGGTAACCAAAAGGGAAACACAGCCGAATGGATTTCTCATCTTTGCTTCAATTCAATGCTCGTTCAGTCAGGTTTCATCCCTCCTTCCTTCTGATCAACGAGGATACCCTTAACATATAAATCAGAAATTCACCACCAGAAGTAACCGTAGGATCTAATCCCCTTAGACTAGCTGAAGCCTCGGGGAAGTTCACCTAACTGCAGCGCCCATTTTACCCTTATGTACTAATGTGCGCGTACAATATAACGTCACCTAAAACACTGGCCACCATCACGCAATGTTAGTGCGTAAACAGGGGTTGACCTGATCAACCGATAAGCTAAACTGACAGCGAACAGCCCATGCTCGATGCATGAAAATGCCCCCCACCTTGCTGCTCTAACTCACGCATCCTTTTATTTGGTTTCACTACAGCGATGAAGGATATCTTTCGATTGCAATGCGTTTGCCTCATCCTACAAGGGCTTCTGATTGGACAGCAAGGCGCGCGTGTGCAATCTAAACCGTGAGTTTTCATGCTGTTGAGAGTAGATAAACAATCAGGTCATCACAAAATAGATCAGTGCAGAGAATGACCTAGTTGTGGAACAATATGTTGTTGGACACGCGTCTACTGCAGCCAGCAGCGTCGCGTCAGCCTACTGATTCATCCGCAAACTACATGTTAATTGATTCGATATCCCATTAAATCGAGCAAACATTCGTCTACAGAATAGGACCTAAAATTAGTCATACCCAACGGAGAACACGGAATTTCAGTGAACAGATGACCACAAAATTCGGGATAAACAAAGATAGCATAAATGGAAAAGAAAGAAAGTTTCACTGTCACTCCACAAGATGTTATTTTATGGCTGCAGAAGAAGTGTGCTAAACAACTAATTCAAGGATCCCACTTGGCTGATGCGGAAACAAATCTCGCAGTTTCATTGACAGCATAAATAATACAACCCTACTAGGCTAAAACTAGCCTCTGCGGGCCATTGTTCTGTGCCACCATGTTCTTCGCATTAGAAACTTAAACTGTAACATCTCGCACGGTGGTTTGTCTAGGCTGCTTCTCGACAAGGATGGCCAATGAAATACTCAAAATGAAACGACCGAACGTGGTAGTTATACTACAACTAGTTGCGTTTTCAAACACTGAAGTACAAAACATTAAGAACCACCGTGATAAGGCGAAACTGACAACTATGTGTTCGGGGCAAGGCAACCGCACACAGGTGGGAATCCGGTAACAAGAAAGGTGAATATCAACTACAGACTGTTTGTGTGGGGGACAAGGTAAACGGAGAGATATACAAGCAGTTTACGGCTTGGATTCATACGCGGGTACCAGTGCTCCCATACAGATTTTCCCATCAGAGAGCGATAGTAAATTATACATAAAAATTTAGTTGGCTGGAGTCCATTACGTCTGAGAATTGTCCAAAAGTGCTTAGGGTATTCACAACGTAAACTGCACTCGTCAAAAAATTGTACGGACAAAATCGTTACTGCAAGCTTTGTGCTGAACTTAACATACAGGCTTAAGTTCTCTAAACACAGTGGGATCCTTGGACTGTTTCAATTGAGAAATAAGTCCCGAAGATGACATCAGAAACAGAAAGTAGGGAACGTGCTTGTTTTCAGTGCTTCATCATCAGGTTAATACAACTACAATAAAGCAAGTTAGAATAGACACTATGGGTTTAAATGCGGTCACTGAAGCAGAGTTGCTAATCGATAAGTCTACGTCTTTGTAGAAGGTAGAAGTCACGATTAAACTTCACACGAAGACCTGCCTCGACAGGGAATCGAACCCCGGTCCACCAATTTCCGGTCCGCTGCTCTACCACTGAGCTACCGAGGACTAACGATTAGGTGCGGAATTTAACACGTGACTTCTGCTTGGTGCGCGACGTATTGCCAATGATCTCACAGTAACTGTCCTGGTGATGCAGATCGGCTCACTCACTCGTCACTTCCCAGTGGACCGAATTAACTCTCCATCCGAAGTCCAAATAATCTACGTCTTTGGTCTGGTTGAGGCGAGGTCAGGTGAAGTGGCGTGACTGCCATTGTTAGGCGCGTTGGTCTGGGTACAAGGCAGGGTTAAAGTACGGACAAGATTTTCTGTGCACATAGGTTCGGGTTATAGAGCCGAATTGCGATCGCCTCTGCTGCCGACAGCAGGCGACATCTGACTGCCCGTGTGTAACGTCCGGGGACACAGTAGATCGGTGTGAATGCGTCATGCGAATTGATTTGATGGTCGGAGTCTACTAGGTGCAACAACACTGCACTGGTTACCTTCTTCCTCGCGCCGCTGTAGAACAAATATGGGCAATGTTCTCGGGCCCTCATCATCATCATCAGTCTACACATCAGATAGAGGTGGGAAACACCTCAGCAACTGTGCCGCAGTAAATAAAAGGAAAAAGAAAATAAATACAATATTTGTATGCCAGCTGAGCTACCAGTAACGGATAGGCATCGTTCCAGTAAACTACCAGCCCGCTACTAGACAAAAAGAAAAATTATGTTTTACGCTACGAAAGGAGATAGCAAATGGAGGGGGAGACTAAAAGGGATGAGGAGGGACAAAGAAACTCACAGCACGAACGCCACTGAGGTCGGCTCCTTGCCTTGTCTGCAAGTGGATCCAGCCAAACGTGTTAAACGTCTTTCGGACCCCAACCAGGGAGCTGTGACGCTCCAACCGAGGCCAGCTCAGAAGTGAGGGCCTTCATTCTTCTGGACCGAGTCATCGTTTGGCCATCCCTCATCTTCGTCCATCCACATCTCCGGTGAGCAAACAAAGCATGTGGCGGGAGTCGGGGGGCTGGCATGCGCAACACGTGGCCCAGCCATCGGAGCCTGATGCGTGAAATAACGGTGCTGAGCGGTTCATTTCCTTTTCCTGTGCCGTAAACAAAGCGTCGAACACGCGCGTTACTCACGCGGTATTCCCACCAGATTTGAGCCGAACTGCGAAGGCACCGATGTTCGAAAGTAACTAGCCTCTTCATGTCCGCCGATATTAGGGGCCAGGATTCTCAACCGTACAGTAAAGTCGAACGTACCGCTGCATTGTACACTCTACCCTTCAGCTCGAGTGTAATGTCGCGCCGCTGCCATACGTGGCGAAGGTTAGCAAAAGCACTTCGGGCTTTTGCTATACGGTTCGTGATCTCGTCTTCGATCCCAAGGGTGTTGATAAAACTTCCCAGGTAGTTGAATTTCCGAACGACTTCTAGCTGATCCCCACAAACGGTCAGTGCAGGAGGCGGTCCAGACCAATCTTGGAGGAACGCTTTACACTTCGATGGTGCAAAGCAAAGCCCGAAGCGACTGACAGACAGTACTAATCTGTCCAGCGCGGCTTGGCACGTATGGGAACTGTCACAGATGAGGGCAATGTCGTCTACATGCTCTAAGTCAAAGTCGTTCTCCTGGGAGTAGCGCCACACCTTCCAAGTCATGTCCTGTAAATGCAATCTCAATGACTTTGTCAATAGCGAAGTTGAAGAGGAAAGGTGACAGCGGGCATCCTTGTCTCACACCACTGGAGATATTGAAGGGTGGCGACAGCTTGCCGTAAGCTCTCACTCTGCCCGTGCTACGTTCGTATAATGCTCGGATAATATTTTCATATTTCTCGGGCACACCTATCCTGAGTAGACCATTCCAAAAGGCACATCGATCAACCGAATCGAAGACACCTTTGATGTCGAGGAACAGGACTACGGTGGGCCGCCAGTATGTGTGACGGTGCTCCAGCAACTGACGCAAGATGAAGATGTGGTCAATGCAGCCACGACCTCGACGAAATCCGGCTTGCTCTTCAGGAATCTGGCTTTCACGAACGATAGTCAGTCTGTGAAGGATTATGGTGGCGAGTAATTCGGAGGCGATGGAGATCAGACTGATTCCTCTATGGTTGCCGCATTCTGATCGTGAGCCTCCTTCGAAGATGGAACAATAACGGAGCGCCTCCAGTCAGTTGGGACAGTTTCATGCTCCCACAATTTCCCTAGTAAATCGTGTAAAGCATCAACAAGAGCGGGGCCTCCGAATTTGGAGACGGCTGGAGGAATATCATCTGGTCCCGCGGCTTTGTTCAACTTCAACAGTCCGATCTCACTTTCGACTTATGAGGAAGAGGGTGGATCGAAATGGACAGCCCACGGAGCAGGGCGATCACTGGCCGGTGAAGAATCGAACAAATTTAGCCGATTACATTGCTTTTCCAAGTGCTCAGTCCAACGCTCCAAGCGTTTTGACAAGTTGTAGATATGCTGTCCACTCTCGTCACGTACAGTTTCACTAACACCAGGTCTTCTGCTGCCCGGTTGCCGTAACAGCCGGAATCACTTACGACGGTTACCAAGGACAGCGGCCATTTCCTTCTCTGATGCACGATGAGACCACCAAGATTCACAGTCTCTCTTCAGGCTAGCACGGAGTTTTTCCCCGAGCTCTTTGCGAGTTTCATTGTGTTCGCTTCCAGCCGGAATATGCCGGCGAGCATCTATAAGGTCCAGAGATTGCGAAGAGACCCAATGTCCCTGTTGACGATTAGACTTACCACATGAGGATTTTCCTGCTGCTAGTAAGGTTTGGTGAATATGAGATCAGTGAGCTTCAATTGCATCCAGTGAGCATTTATACTACACGCAAGACAGGGTACTTTGATAGGCATTCAGAACAGCTGGCTTCGCAAGTTGGCTGTTGTCAATGCGGTCACAACGTCGTCGTGGGCGTCCTCCAAAGCGCATCTGCAGGTCAGCACATACATGTGCATGGTCGGTGTCTACACATTTGCTCCAAATGGAACGACAGTTCTAGACGCAGCCTCTCCAGCGGTAACTTATCGCAATGTGATTGATTTGCGTCCAAGGCTGTTTCGAGGCTGGTGGGCGCCAAGTCACCTTCCGGCGGGTGCTGTGTCGGAAATTAGTGTTCGCAAGAAATAAGCGTGCATCTTCACACAAATTAAGTAACCGCTCACCGTTATCATTACGGGAGCCTACACCGTGCTGACCGCCCATATGCATTTCATCAGTGGACAACTTTCCAACGTAAGCTTTTAGATCCCCCGCCAGCACAACTGTGTCCGTGCTTCTTCTGTGACGAAGGAGCTGGGTCAGTTGGCGGTAGAAGTCATTCATTACCGAATCATCGCTACAGTTTGTGGGCGCGTAGGCAGCGATGATGAATAGACACCTATTACTCCCGCGCGACTTCGAAGCTTTGAACGAGCCAGCCAATCGGACCGCACACATCCGGCTACTGATCGGAATCCAATCAACCAGGGCAGCTTCAGTCCGGGGACTCAGGGCAATGCCAACACCAGATTGGCCGGTGCTCGAAGCTGCATCGCCACCGGATAGGCGCAATGAGAAAATGCTACTTGCGTCACCTGCAGGGGGTAGCAGAGCTGGAGTCTTGCAGACGAGTCTCCGATAAGCAGCAGATATCGATCGAGAGGGTATCTAATGTTCGGGCAAGTGCTGCCAGTTG